GTGGGGGATGTACAGGAAGGAGGGTTCCAGTTTAAAAAAAGAGCTGGAAAGATAATGTTCTGCTGGTCAGATTTTAGGCAGAGGCCCTGCCGATGCAGAGGTGTTTCATGTGGGAGAGGGCTGGGAGGGACGGCTGACTCTAGCCTCTCCAACTTCACCATGGGAACTAACACTTATTTGGTCCCCCTCTCTGCCAGGCCCTGGGGTATAGAACTCACTAAGCAGTGTATTGGCAGGCCTTTGGGAGCTCACAGATCTGGGAGGGTCAGCCCTTAACCACACTGCAGCTGAATGGGACCAGGGCCAGAAGGCCAGCAGGATGGGCTGAGAGAACCTGAGAGGGTCTCCCAAGGCAGCCTGGGGCCCTCAAAGGCTTTTCACAGGACTCAGGGTACAGTCTGAGCCCCCAATGGTGAGAAGAACTCTCTGGGTGATGTTGAGGAAGAAGATAGGAACAGCATGGGCAAAGGCAGGGAGAAGCCCTGGAACAAGCCAACTCTGTAAACTGTGCAGAAATAGAAAATGCCATAAAAGGGCCAGAAGTCCATGCCCACAGGGTCAGAGAACCCAGGAAAGACCTACCTATGCTTCCGGTGCCTCAGGTTTGAGAACCACGCCAGGGGCTGTGCTGAGACTCAGGGACCTTGACTTGAAGTTGTCAGAAGGTAGTGCTGTGATGTCACTACCCATCCCTATTCCAGGTGATCTTGCTGGACTCCAAGAAGAAGCTGGCCTGTGGGGCAGTGCTCATTCACACCTCCTGGGTGCTGACAGCTGCCCACTGTATGGAAGACTCCAAGAAGCTCACCGTCAGGCTCGGTGCGGGCTAGAGCCATGCAGGAGGAGGCCGCCAGAGGCCTCAGGGAGGGGTGGCACCAGACAGGTGCACCAGGTTTGGGGACCCTATCCTTGGGGATTCTTGAGCAAGGGGCTGCTTGAGCTCCACAGAGGTGTTTTGGGGGTAGAGATGTATTTGCTCCCAACCTGCCACTCCCGTGGTGGGATTTTAGTCACAGTAATACCTGGTATTTTGCAGGTAGGGGATTCTCTGGTACCCTCTTTAACTCTGAGCCTAGGTGCTCATACATACATGTTTGCAAATGAGGGGGGTTAAACACATCCTTACATCTTTCCCCCCACTCCTGTGCATTGGGCTGTGTTTGTGGACCTCCAAAACCCTCTGATGCAGAGACCCACAGGGCACCCACATGGCCTCGCCTCAGGGGCATTCTTCATACAGATTGATGGGAATGGAACTGTGGAGCGGGGCCCTGGCATCTGCCATAGCAATGGGCTGCTTCTCCGCAGTTTGGGGATCCCCAAGCCTAGGCCCCACTCTATACCAGTTTCTGGAGGGGGCTCTCACTCCATTCTTAATGCAAAAAAGAAGGAAAAGATGTATTGAGAATGACCAGAGTCACGTTCCCTATAATTATCTGCAGCACCAACCAATGACCAGTGGCCTCTAGTGGGGCCCTGCTTGGAATTTCCAGGTGCCTCCCAACCCACCAGGAACCATCAGCCATGCCTGAGAGGACCTTGTCTCTTGTGTGTGACCCAGATCTTTCTTCTCTGCAGAGCCTGGATCCTGTTGATCCTCCTCTCTGGGTCTTGCTCTTCCTGCTCTGCCTCCACCATGGCATGTCCCTGCCTTGTGCTCAGGCTGGGCACTGCTAGCCATGCCTCTGCTGCCAGGAGAGTCTCATCTCTCCAGCTGCAGCTACCCTATATATTCTCTTTGTGGCTCTGCTCTGTGTCTCAGGTTTCCAGGGGGCCTTGGGCTTCCCTGCCAACTGCTTACCGCTGGTCACTTCCCTGGCACTACTCCATCTCTGAGTGAGTCCTAAATTCAGACCAGCATTCTGCCCCTTCAGGATTGACATTCATGGGCCATTACCTTTAATAGGGATCTGAAGTGCAGACATGTGGCCCATGATGGTGCCTGGGATGCATGCTGACCACACCGGCTGTGGACCCATTGCTTGCCCTCCACCAGGGCCTGTATGAGCACAGTCGTTGTGTCAGCCTCCCCCAGGCCCACTCTGACAGCTCCTCTGCCCTGCAGGGGAGTATGACCTGCGGCGCAGGGAGAAGTGGGAGGTGGACCTGGACATCAAGGAGGTCCTCATGCATCCCAACTACAGCAAGAGCACCAATGACAATGACATTGCACTGCTCCGCCTGGCCCGGCCTGCCACCTTCTCACAGACCATTGTTCCCATCTGCCTCCCAGACAGTGGCCTCTCTGAGCGCGAGCTCACCAAGGTTGGCCAGGAGACAGTGGTGACGGGCTGGGGCTATCGCAGTGAGACCAAGAGAAACCGCACCTTCGTCCTCAATTTCATCAAGATTCCTGTGGCCCCTCGCAATGAGTGTGTCCAGGCCATGCACCACAGGGTCTCTGAGAACATGCTGTGCGCAGGCATCCTTGGGGACCCTCGGGATGCCTGCGAGGGTGACAGTGGGGGACCCATGGTTGCCTCCTTCCGCGGCACCTGGTTCCTGGTGGGCCTGGTGAGCTGGGGCGAGGGCTGTGGGCGCCTCCACAACTATGGCATTTATACCAAAGTTGGCCACTACCTCGACTGGATCCATAGCTACGTTGGAGCTGAGGAGGTCTCCCTTGAGAGCCAGGTGCCATAGCATCCCTCCCACCATGTCTGGATCCTTAGAATGGGGGCTGGGCTTTTGAATGACAATTTATGCAACATTAAAAGGGGAATGCAACAAGCATATCAGCTGCTATTTTGTCTTTCCATTCCTTTTTTGGGCTGGTCTGGAGCGAATTAATATTTACTGAGCATCTACTGTATGTCCTACACTTTACAAACAGAATCTTATTTAACTTCCACAGCAACTTTGTGGGATAGGGAGGAGCAGGTCCAAGTTTTTGTGAGGTCTGAAGCTGATAACATATGGCAGGGAGGCTCTCTTTATAAAAAAGAATTAAAAATGCAACTTCAAAACTGTGAAAGCCTCTCCCAGGGTTTTGGGAGGGGCTTGTGCAAGTCAGAGATCCTGAAGCTGAAGCTTTCCAGTAAACCCAACTCTGGTGGAAGAGCTTTTTAACTCATAGTACAGAGGAGGAAACAGGTTCAGGAAAGTTTACCTGGTGGTGTCAGGATTCAAATCTAGGAGGGCAGCCATTTCGAGCACCTGTGAGTGTGGAGGCCACCACTGGCCCTGTGAGAGAAGAAGCCAGAGACCCAGAAGGTTCAGCCCAAACAGAGCTCACAGTGCAGTTGGGGAAGCTGTTTAAGAACAATGTTACGCAACTATGAATAGCAATAAGAAATAGGCTCTGTCTTGACCTGAATTTATAAGCATAAATGGATGAGACAGAGAAAGAAGTTAGGATGTACTTGATAATAAAGGTAGTGGTGAGTCAAACGAGATTAGTATAAAGTCCTAGAACTGGTCTAACTCTCTGTGTGGCCTTGGGCAAGTCACTTCCCTTCTCCAGGAGTTAGCAAATGAAGGGATTGAATGAGAGCAGTGGTATTCAACCCGGTTGTACATTTAAATCCTGTAGAGAGCTTTTGAAAACATCTATGTCCAGTCCCAACCTCAGATTCTGGTTTAACTGGTTTAGGGTAGGGGACCCAGAAGCTGATATTTTAAAAATTCCCTCAGTCATTTTAATGTGTGATTGGGGTTAAAAACTGCAGGACCAAATGGTCTTTAAAGGCCTTTTATGCTTGGGTAGGTGCTAGTTCTAAGACTCTCAAGACAATGAGAATGAAGAACAGAGTTTCAGAAAGTACAGCACAAGTCAGTCAACAGTAAAGGGGGCCATGACTTGCGATTACACACAGCCTGTCAGCACCACAGCTGCTGCTTACGGATCGTTGGGGACACCAAGACCCACTGAGCTGGTTATCTATATACAACCATCAGAAAAGAAGTATGCCTGAATGGGCCCTGCAGGATTCACCTTCTATGGACCTGGAAAATGAATAGGAAGGACTGCTTGGAAGTAGGAGGAAGCCAGGACAGGAACCATCTGATGATTAGTGCATTGGGTCACTACACTTGTAGTGGGACATGATGGATTGAGAGAATGACACTGTGCTGGAGGTCTTTGCCCCATTCAAGACTCTCCAGGTGAGTTTCCAGTCAAGACAGTTAACTAGTGTAGGCCAGATAACTTTTGGCATGACAGCATGAGATCTACTCTCCTGCTTGCCAGTAAAACTAGTGAAAATAATAAAACAAACAAACATTTAAAGTCTCTGAAAATGGTCCTAAGAACAAAAATATAAGAACAAAAATACAACTTTTAAACCAACACAAGCAAACCTGATCTGTCCAACAGAAAACAAAGGAGAATAAAAAACAATTAAGCAGCATACAAAAATCAATTGCACTTCTATATAATAACAATGGATGTGTGGAAATCAAATTAAAACACAATACTCAATCCAATTGCTTGTAAAAAAAATAATATAAATGAATCCACTATATTTTTAAAGGTAAATTATATTTTAGTAATTATAAAAGTAGTTTATATTTCATGGACTTTTAAAAAATTTTCATATTAGTTTTAGGTATATATTACATCTGTTAGACATTTATATAGTTTATGAAGTGATCCTCCCAATTACTCTAGCACCCAATTACTCTACACATAGCTATTACCACAGTATTGACTATATTCCCTATGCTGTACTGTATGTCCCCATGACTGTTTTGTAACTACTAATTAGTACTTCTTCATTCCTTTACCTTTTTGCCCCTTAACTCACTCTTCTCTGGCAATCATCTATTAGTTCTCTGTATTTATGAGTCTGTTTTAGTTCGTTCATTTCTTTTCTTCCTTAGATTCCACATTTAAGTGAAATCATATGGTATTTTTCTTTCTCTGACTTATTCACTCAGTATAATACCCTCCAGGTACAACCATGTCATTGCAAACAGTAGGATTTCATTTTTTTATGGCTGAGTAAAATTCCATTGTATATATGTACCATAATTTGTTTATCTAATCGTCTATTGGTGGGCACTTGGCTATTGTGAATAGCACTGCAGGGAACATAGATAGGCATGCATAGATATTTATGAATTAGTGTTTTGGTTTTCTTTGGACAGATACCCAGAATTGCAATTGCTGGGTCAAAAGGTAGAATTACCTCCAAAGTGTTTTCCATAGTGGCTGTACCAATTTGTAATTTGCAATGATACATTTGATAAGGGGTTAATATCAAAAATATATAAAGACCTCATACAACTCAACAACAATAAAGCAAACAATCCAATTAATAAATGGGCAGAAGACCTGAATAGGTACTTCTCCAAAGAGGAAATACAGATGGTCAACAGACATATGAAAAGATGCTCAAGATCTCTAATCATCAGAGAAATGCAAATTAAAACCACAATGAGCTATCACCTCATTGTCAGAACGGCTATCATCAATAAATCAAAAAACAAGTGTTAGTGAGGATGTGGAGAAAAGGGAACTCACTTATTGTTGGTAGAATTGCAAATTGGTACAGCCACTATGGAAAACACTTTGGAGGCAACTCAAAAAATTAAAAATGGATCTATCTTTTGACCCAGCAATTGCACTTCTGGGTATTTATCCAAAGAAACCAAAACACTAATTTGTAAATATTTATGCATGCTTATCTATGTTCACTGCAGTGCTATTCACAATAGCCAAGATATGGAAGCAACCTAAGTGCCCATCAATAGACGATTAGATAAACAACATATGGTACATATATACAATGGAATTTTACTCAGCCATAAAAAAATGAAATCCTACCATTTGCGATGACATGGTTGTACCTGGAGAGTATTATACTGAGTGAACTAAGTCAGAGAAAGAAAAATACCATATGATTTCACTTAAATGTGGAATCTAAGGAAGAAAAGAAATGAACGAACTAAAACAGACTCATAAATACAGAGAACTAATAGATGATTGCCAGAGAAGAGTAGGTTAGGGGGCGAATACAGAATCATTCACTTAAATGCAGAATCTAAGGAACAAAAAGAACAAACTAATCAAAAACAGACTTCCAGAGGGGAAGGGGTTGGGAGCTGGGAAAAAGGGGTAAAGAGTTAAAGAAGCACAAATTAGTAGTTGAAAGATGGTCATGGGGAGCGTGGCATAGGGAATGTAGTCAGCAATAATGTAATGGCTATATGTAGAACAGATAGATGATAAGAGTAATGGGGGGGGAGGTTATTTCATAAGCTATACAAATGTCTAACCAATGTACTATATATTTAAAACTAATTAAAAAAAACAGCAGAGATTGTCAGATTGGATGAAAAGTTAGGTTCAAATCTATATTGCCTACAAGAAAACTACTTTAAACATAAAGAAACAAGTAGAGTAAAAGTAAAAGGATGGGAAACATATACCATGCTAAGATTATCATAAGAAAATTAAAGTGGCTATATTAATAACAAAGTCTATTTCAAAGCAAAGAATATAACCAGGAATAAAGAGGGTCACTTTGTAATAATAAAAGAGTTAATTTATCCAGAGGACATAACAATCCTAAACATTTATGTACCTAACAATAAAGCTTCAAAACAGATGAAGAAAAAAGTTATAGAACTAAAGAAGGAAATAGACACATCCACGATTATACTAAAAAATTTCAACTCTTGTCTCTTAATATTTTGTAGAACAAGTAGAATAAAATCAATAGGTACAGAAAACTAGAACAACACTACCAACCTCCTTGACCTAATTGACATTTGTAGAACACTCCTCCAACAACAGCAAAATACACATTGTATTCAAGTGTGCACAGACATTTACGAAAATAGACCCTATTCCAGAACATAAAACAACTCAATAAATGTAAAATTATCCATGCCATACCAAGTATGTTCTCTTACTACAATGGAATTAAATTATAAATCAATAACAAAAAAAGTATGTGGGAAGTTCTCAGGACTTGG